CGCTAAGATAGTACGTTGGCGCCTAGGTGACGAAAGTCTCGGCGAGGATGGGGGAGGGCGAGATAACTAGTAGCCGCGGGACATCAAGTCGCGGAGATCGAGGCATTGCGGATCACGCCTTGGCGCTGGCAGTAGGTGTGAGGCTGCGGGGCATTAAGAGCACACAATGACTGATTCTAAACGTAGAAACTGAAGCCGACGTTTGCAGAAGCTGATGGTGTCGCGGTTGGTCATCGAACGTATGGGCAACCTGTCTTGTGTTGATCGCTGGATGACACGCATAGAGCCATAGTTAAGGAAATGGACAAGAAGAAAGGGTGGGCAAAAGCCGTGGAATAGCTGCAGTCTCAGGACTGGTCATCTGTGGTACTGGAGCGAGTAATTCACAGGTAAAGGTGGTTCCCTGAGTTGGTTGTTCACGTTCAGTGGAAACCTGGTTTGGTGTAGACTATTAAATGGGTCGCCTACGGTGGTAGACGTAAAGAGGAACATAGGACATGTATATACAGGGAGCAGCGGTGTTCTAGGACAGTGCATAGGCTAAAGAGCCAGGACTGATCGTCTAAGGAACTGGAGCGAGGCGTGCAAAGGTAAAAGTGGTTCGCTGAGGCGCTTACCAGTGACGTGGTGGTGTTCAATGCAAAATTTGGCTTGTGTGAACTGGTAAAGGAGTCGCTTACGACAGTATGCGCAACCGCGAACTGAACACATGGACAGGAAGTAAGGGTGTTCCGGTGCAACTAAGCGGCTGAAGCTCGGAGACTGGTCGTGACAGGAGAGGGAAGGAGATGCCAGGAGGCAAAATGGGCCTTGGGCACTGGACAGGGATGCGTACATGCGGTACGGGTGCATTTATCGTGTGTTGAATGTGCAGCTACTCGCCTAGCTTGTTAGATGCAAAATAAGTGTTAAGTAATTGATAAAAAGCGAGGGTGGTCAGCGGGAATGGAGCGGCTAATTTATCGGGGAAGGAGATGGGAAGAAAAATGGTTCGCTGGGGCACCGACCGGTGACATGAAGGCGTGGACGACTGGTAGCGTAGCCTACGAAACAGGGGAAATCGGCGGCGGTAGACTAAGAATGCCTATGCAGTGTGCGCAGAGGAAGATGCCAACTGTCATCCTATTACGTTAGGGTAAAAGACGTGTACATATAACAAAATCGATTGGAAGGGTGCAGAAATCACGCGGTAGCAAACCACTGCCAAGATATTTTATCCAAATGGAAATTAATAGTGGTCGGGCCGGAAATAATTAACGGCCTGCATCTGCGGTAGAAGGGATTAGTTTAAAATAACCACTTTTTTATAAAATTCCAGCAGGGTGAAAATTGTGACGTTGCGGACATTCGCCATACCGAAAATTACAAGCAAGCGGTTATTATCAATGTCCATTCTCAGACGACCTAACTGAATCTCTGTCGATTGTTCTCTAAATTGAAGAGAAATTGATGTTACTATTGAAAAGATAATCAGCACTCCGACATATTTACCCCGGCTCTGACCGTCCAGGCCCGATCGCGCCTCATCGGACGGAAGAACTGGTGCGGTGGATGCAACACAGGTTTAATATTTCTTGAAACCTATCCGCACCTAATCAACATCCTTGCAGTGCTTTTACTATGGAGCGCACGGTGGATATGGTCGATGACGCAGTCGAACGGTCATGATGGTAAGGGTAACGGTTGGGGTTAGATTTGCGTTAAGCATCAGTTTTGAAGTAGCAGTTGTGCTTATGCTTATGTAAGGGGTTAAGATCAGCGTTGGCGTTACCTTTAGGCTTTGGGTGAAGGCGGCGATGGGCCACTGATCAAGCTGGTGAAGACATGGATAACGAAATTCCTATGGACTTCCAAGTTTCAAATATTTTTATTCTGTTAATATCTGGCTTTCTATTGCGTGATTTCTTTCACTTTTTAATCTGCTGGAAAGAGCTAACCTTGATATTGTTTCTTTAAGCTGATCATTAGCTCCTTTTTTGGTATATCGGTTATGAACTTCAGCATTGGGTATGTTCGTAACGTTTTAATTGGCTGGTTAGTGCATTATTTTCATAGAACCCAATCGCCTTACGACTAATATGATTGTGAATGAGTTTAGTAAGAGATGTCTTCGAAGACTGAAACGAATAAGATTTGAAGTGCCCCATACACAGAAAGTTTAAACTATCATAGTCTGAAGACGTCTGCACCCTGATAGAAAAACTCTAGCGCCGCGCGAAGTTGCCTAGTGCCGTCGCGCTATTCTCTCCCTGCGTTGCGCGCACGCAGAGATGTGCCCCCAGGCGACATGCGAGAAGCGTTCCTAGTCGGCGTCACCCCTTGTGACAAGGGGATACCATCCCCCCTCTAGCTGGCGCAGGCATCCCGCGGTCGAAATCTG